GTTCTTTCTTTCTTTTTTGTTTTTGTTTTTGTTGTTGAAAGCTTATCAGCCCTATAGAAACTTATCTATTTATTATAGTTAATTTAAACAAAGAAAATACAAATAAACAAACAAACAAATTTATGATTATTATTTTTATTAAAAAAATGATTAAATTAAAGTTTAGTTAAATAATTAAATCTTTTTATAGTAGTCAATAATAATGATTATTTTGTATTCTACATGAATGAATGAAAGGATTCGAGCTAAGAAGGAATCATTAATTACATGGAAAGATATTTGATGATGATAAGAATAATAATAATTTAAATCATATTCAATATGAATTATCAGTGAAACTTCTAAAATCTCCACAAAAAACCCCGTTCTCATAATAATCATCTACTCGCTAGTGACTGGCTTCATGAGGTATTTCCTGGAGTTCTAATAAGAAGCAGTGATCAGTGTAGTTCAACCAGGTCTGTTGTGAGATAGTAACTCACTGAGGATAATGGTGGATTGGTTGAAAATAGACATTAACAACGTTGGACGTCGGCACAGTGGTCTAGTTGATTAAGCGCCTGGCGCGAGACCGATAGGTCCTGGATTCGAATGTCGCGGGGAGCGAGGTCGTGAATTCGCACTGCTAAGGAGTCTCATACTGGGACAAAACGGTCGTCCAATGCTTCTAGGTTCTCCATGGTGGTCTAGCTTCAATTGACTCGTGATTTCAATTACAGAAATTCCTATAATCCCTACAAAAACTCCTGATTATGTATGGGTTTAGCTTGTCAGAAGCTATCAGTAATAATCGCTAGATCTACATACAATCTTGTGAAGTCTCATGATACTTATGTGTTTCGAGTATGTTTCATACAGATTAACAGTGTTCAGCATTATTATTAAGTTATTTGAACTTCTTCTTCAATAGAACTGCATACGATTTGAGAATCACACAATCATAATATAGGTTTTTACTACCTAGTGATCAATTCAAGGACGAATAAGTTTTTGATAATATCTAATATTGTGAAATGTTGTGATGTGAATTCGAATGCCTTATAAACTACCTTTGTTTTAACTCTAAATATAATGTGTTAAACAGTACTAGCTAACACAATACTTAAATTTTAGGCTTCCTGTTGACTGTTTTAAATCCCATAACACCAGACATAATGTATACGATGTTATTTCATTTAGACCATTGGAAATTTGAGTTTGATCAGTAGTAACATCAAACAAACATGAAATTTCTATAGTTTAAATCACGTGCTGATACTAGCCAAATCACCGTTGAAAACCAGAAAGAAATGAACAGTACTTTTTGTTTACTGTGTTGCAATGAACGTCTACGATCCAGTATTCAGGAATCAAACCAACCACATTCTACAGTCTGTACAAATACCCTTATATTTAAAATCTGAAAATGGTTGCCAGTTCATATTAATGTTGCTTCACTGACTGCTTAAAATTTAATAATGTTCGACTATTGGCCATTTTCAGTTAATGCAATCTTTACAATGTCTACCATAAGTAAATTTAATGAAGTTGACTTGAATTGGATAGAGTTCGTCAGTCAGTACGTAATCTTAAAATAATAACAATTCTTGTCTCCATAACATGACATAATGCCCCTAAGAAATTGAACACGGTAGAATAGGGTGACAATCTATATTGGAACATAATATATATCTTATAACTGTACGAATGAACTGGTTTCATAAACTGTATTATTATCGCCAAGCTCACTCTATACAATGATTTGAACAGAGAAGAAGAAAAGGCGCGTGATATGCAAAGTACGCCTTACTGTGACGTCAGTTTATGTACAAAGTAAACTTCTGGAAAGTTTCAGAACCCTGAGAAACATAATAGCGGTATAGGTAATCATCTAACCAAAGATGTGATACGTGACTTTTCATTGTTCAGATGTTTCTGAGACACTTCTATCAACGCTTACTGCATAAAATATTCTCTACTGTTTTCAGGGCCTCTTTTGGTTTGTTTTGTTTTTCAAGGAATTTTCACGGTCTCCTCAACAGAATAAAATATGTTTTTAGAGATAACTCGAAATATTATACCATCCATTAACTTGAAAGAGTAACATATTTCTCAAAGAACCACTCAGCTAGAAAATTCGATGGGACTATAATTTATGGACGACCTTTCAGCGACGGTAAAGTGACGTGGAGAGTGTCTATCTACTTGCTAGAGCTAAATGAGTGTTATAAATCAGGGTGAGGAAATAGAATTATGATTCACAGTTGATGGTTTAGATTAGGAATTAGATCTAGAGTGTTCATCACAAACTAATATCATCTATAATGTCAAAAGACTATTTAACCTAACGGATGAACGAATTTCGTGCCAAAATCCGAGATCTGTTATCTTATGCTTGATTGGTTCATCCATAAATTATAGTCTCGCCGAATCTCAAAGAACCAGTCAGCTAGAAAATCCATATTAAGTCGATATCAGGATCATCTGAATATGATAAATGAATATAATACAATATACAGCAGTATCACGAACTATCCTATATGACAACATATAGGAACTTGTAATGGAATGTTTTATGTACCATCTTCAAACGTAACTATTTTACTACAGTTATTCATTCATTCAGTTTTGTAACATCTCGTCAATAAAACTTACTTTTCACTGTTTATCAGCAAATAATCAATTAGATTGTTCATTCACATCAACACTATTGTTCTTCTAATTGTATTCAATGATTTACAATTTCTTTTATTAAATCAATATCATGTTTTATTCTAATAATTCACTGATAGGCATATTCAATTCTAGTCGATTGGTTATGTAACATCAGGCATAGAGATAGAAATAATAATTGATTATCATCATGATAATAAAATACAGTCTTGAAAGCTTATTGGTTAATGACTGACTTTATTTTAGTTCATTAATTTGAAATGACGTTCTTTTTATATTCTAATGAATAGAAGAAATTGTATATCTGATGTTTCGTGGCTTAATCTAAGCTACTTTGATGTGAACAGAGAAACAATAAGTCTTGACAAACTATGGAAACTATTTTTTTTTGGGGGGCGGGACGTTATTTCAGTTCATTCAAAGCTTGTAAAATATTAACATTTATTGTTGTCCCTAAATCTATTCTACAGATCATAAGCTTTCGTTTGATGTAGGATTCATTGCCATAGACCTTTTTCTTCCAAAGTTATTGTATTATTTCTTGCTCTATTTTCTACGCTAATCCCCAGTTTTGGACATAATTGTATTTTTCCTGACTATTGTACGTTGTGGTTGAGTTATTCATCTATTTATTTATGTATCTCTCTTTACACTGATCTGAAATTCGGGAGCCAGATCGGAATTGAGAATAAATTGATTAGTGTTCCAGTTGACTTGTCTTTGCTCACTCGCGTGCTTGTCAGCCAATCAATTAGGTGATAGAATAATTTTCTTCTCTCTACTCCATTTCGAACTCACGAGTACTAGCCTCAAGGTTAAGCCGGTCAGCCTGTCGCGTCAAGATCTTAGTATGTAGATTAGACAAGTTATTCTTAGCACCAAAAGTGGGTAGACAGATCAAGAACGTAACACACTTCTTCAGAGTAAATAAATAAACCTATAATTTCAATGGTTGAGATCATGAATCAGTTAAAGCTCACTAGTGACTGACTTCAAGAGGTGTTTCCTGGAGTTCTAGTGAGAAGCAATGATCAATGGAGTTCAACTGGGTCTGTTGTGAGATAGTAACTCACTGAGGATAATGGTGGATATGTCGCTCAATTCCGTGGGTTGGTTGAAGTTAGGCATTAACACCGTTAGATGCCAGCTCAGTAGTCTAAGGGTTAAGCGCTCGCGCACGAGACTGATAGAAGCTGCGTTCGAAACCCGCGAGACGCGGTAGTGGATGCGCACTGCTGAGGAGTCCCACAATATGACGAAACGGCTGTTGAGTGCTTCCAGGTTTTCCATGGTGGTCTAGCTCCAACTGACTCATGAATTGAACTATTGAAATTACCATAATATTCACAAAGCCCCTTATGATATTAAATAAACTTGTGTTAATTCGATTTCAGTTATTTATTTATCCTAAAGAAGTGGCTTATATTAAATCATGAGACGTCAGAAATACAATTTTTCCTACTCATTAGAATAGCACAATACACAGTTTATTTGGAACTACCAAGTCCAACTATGGCATTGATACCTATAAATGCAATTAACATATAAATTATATGTATTCGTGTTTTATGAATAAGGAGTATTGAATGGAGATATAAAAGAAAGGATTAGCATAGCAACAGCCACATTCCTTTAATTGAAGAACATATGAAACTCAAAACAATAGTCAATCAATATCAAAGTCAAAATCTTCAATACGAACATCAACACATTTAGTTCTACTGTACAAAGTAGAAACTTGAAGAACTATTACTAACATCTTTTATAGTTGATTTAAACAAAGAATCACTGAAGCCTCCAAATGCCCAGGTATGACCGAGAGTGAGGTGGGACCGCCATTCCTCTCGAAATACTCTCACACAGCCACGCCTATACAGGCTCTGCCAGGGAAGTCCTACTCACTGTCTTCTCGTGGCGGGGGTATTGTTTAGGAAATTGAGAGGACGAAAAGCGAATGTGCGGCGCTTTACCCGGATCCCAAACCAATGGTGCACATGAGCTCCAGTATCCTGAGGGAACAAATGGCGTATGAACCAAACGTTGGTCACTGGGTACCATGGGACTGTATCTCTTTCTGTTGTACCACTCCCTTGTGGATTAGACCTTTAGGTCAAAGGGTCCTTGTGTGGCCTCCTAAGAAAACCAGCTGCTTCAGTCTGGGCACCCGTGTAGTATACTAGCGCTCACACAAATCGGATGATTTATGTGGCGCATATCTATTTGGTGCCTCCTTGTACTAATATCTATGTGTTAAAATAATGTGTTAAATAAAGAAAGAAAGAATCTCTCTATCTATACATATTTATTTCTTTATTCATAATTATTCTATTATAATTTGTAATTGATATGATGGGAAGAATAGTTAAAACTTGATTAATTTACTCATTGAGTTTTGGTTTCACATAACTTCCATTATGATTCAATGTGATGATTATTCAGTGTACAATCAATATATAAATCAGTGTATTTTCGACTAGGGTCATCATCATCATCGTGTTTTGGGGATTAATAAATCTTCACTTATAGTCGTCTTTGTGTTCTTACTTTCGCATCGTCGGGAATTGCAGAGGTCTCTTGTTTCAATTATAAGTGATAAGCGTTCACGACACAACAATCACCGACGACCAAAGATAACAAGTAGCATTCAATCCGACAAGTTATAACATGAATAGTCAATAATAATAATAGTGATTGTGTGACTTCTTTTATTTAATTACAATCCAAACAACAGAATAACAATCATAATTCTAAATAGATTACACTCATAAGTATAATAATAAGTGCTGTATTCTACATGGATGAATTAAAGGATTCGAGCTAATAAACATTCATTCATTAGATAGAAAGACATTTGATCATAATCATAATCATAATAAAAAACAATAATAATAATAATAATTAAAATCATATTCAATATGTATATGTAAACAAACAAAAAGAACCTATTCAACAAAAAGATTGAACTCAAGAAAAAATTTGGAAATGACTTAAGACTCCCATTCCCTGCCCCCTCCCCCCCTCAAAAAAAAGAAACCCGGATGAGCAAATGGAATGTTTCTTTCTTTCTTTGTTGATTGATTGATTGGTTGGTTAGTTTGAAGGAACACATTTACATCTGAGTTAGTATTGAGCATAAATAGGGGTTTTTGTTTCTCTTCTATGAAACTATTCTATAATATACACACAAATCATTATACATACATACATACAATTTTCTACAATAAAACTAAGGGAATACAGGTTTTTTTCTCTCTAAAAAAAAGAAAAGAAAGAAAAAAAGAAAAGAAAATAACGAATGAATACACTAATCCATAGAAACGTGAGTGAGAGGGGGGGAGGGAGATTGATGATTATGTTTGTTAGGAATATCAATCCAATTGATGAATGAAAATGCCTAAAAATAAAAGAAAAAAGAGTAGAAATTAGACAATATACATGTTAATCGGTTACTTTATTATTATTATTATTATTATTATTATTATTATTATTATTATCAGTATTTTTAGTAGTATTGGTGTGATAAGTACTACTTATATCGACATAAGTAGTACATATATATATATATATCACGCTAGTCAGGAATAGAATGTCTGGCAGCAGAAGATCGACGAAGAAAGAACGGGAATAGAAAGTAATTGATATAGAAGTGAAGGAGTAATGAAGTCTGAGACAATTGATTGACATGTTGCAAATAAAATATTTACTATAATGGTTCTTAGATTTTATTAAGATGTTCTGTGATTTTGAGTGTTCAAAAACATTCAACAATGCGAATCTATGATACCGCCTGGGGAGATTCAAACCCAAGATCTATCAGTCTCGCACGCAAACACTTAACCTCTAAACCATCAAGGCTGTGTTCTAGCTTCAAATGATTCATGATCTCAACTATTAAAATATTATAATATCCACAAAAACCCTCCTTCTGATAATAATCAATCTGCTCACTAGTGACTGACTTCAAGAGGTATATCTTGGAGTTCTAGTGAGAAGCTGTGTTCAGTGGAGTTTAACTGGGTCTGTTATGAGATGGCAACACACTGATGACAATGATGAATGTGTCGCTCAACATGCTGGATTAGTTGAAGTTAGACATTAACATTGTTGGATGCCGGCTGGTTCAGTGATCTAGAGGTTAAGCGCTCTCTCGCGAGACTGATAGGTTCTTGGTTTGAATCTCATGAGGTTGGATTGTAGATGCACACTATTGAGGACTCCCACAATAGGATGAAATGGCCGTCCAGTGCTTACAGGTTTTTCACGGTGGTCTAACTTTAATTGACTCATGATCTCAACTATTAAAAATTACATTCGATTGTTCTCGCTTGTGTTCTTGTTCACTATATTAGTAGTGATTGTACCAAAAATAAATGAAACAATACAAAAATGGATACGGCTTTAAGTTCCACAAATGGATAATTGTTGATGAATTCCATTATATTCAATCAATCGTAAGTAATACCATATTGATCTAGTGTATTGTACTTTATATTGAATTTGAAAAAAGATTAATGGGAAATTAGTAAAGTTATGCTACTGTAACGGATTTCGATCTTTATTACCATGAGTTTTAAATAATCGATTATAATCATTGTAGTAGTCTCAAATGAGTGATCTAAATGAGTGAGACTATTTTTTGATATATTCATGTACTAATAGTATGTTTCAGTTGGTTTCTTCTTTATCCCATCAACTTCTATGCCAGTTAACATGATGACGAGTTGGTGTAGAGATGGTGACTACGCCTATGTCGTATATCTTAAATACCTTAGTCGATGAAAGCTTATGACATCCTTCTATCTAGCACCAAATATTAAAAATCATTTTCAATATTCCTTTTACCGTGTAGGAACAGTGCTTTAATGGTATTTGCGCAACCTATTAACATTTTATAATCTTGTAGACCATGTTATTCATCCATAAAATAATATAGAATGAATGAATAAGTACTATACTCGCATTGATATCTGGTTTACACCACAGTTGAGACAACTCAAATGAAAACTTAGTGTTCTTCTTACCAATTTACCAAATTTGATCAGGATAGTAATATAAGTGAATATACACAAGGTGTTTGGTTGCCTCTTTATGATCAAACTAGATGTTAAGATAGATCAGTCTTAAATTAATGTTTTTAGCATTTAAATGTAGTATAATACATTACAAGCATTATTTTATATTCATACAAGATGTTAAGGAGATTATTGATGTCCTCAGCAGTTTCATGCAACAGAATTATGTCATTCTAATAATTGGTATACATCTCACAACAATTGTCCACATATTAAAAGATATTCTTTATTCATGCTCTATTCCTTTAAAGATTTAATATGACTGATAATTAAAATGGTATTGGTGGTTGACGACTTGGTGTAAAGCAAATGTTAAAACAGAATTGTAGTAGGTTAAGCGTTCGCTCGCTAGACTGAAGGCCCTGGGTTCAAATCCCATGGGCGGGATCATGGATGCGCACTGCTCAGAAGTCCTAGAACAGGACGAAACGGCTGTCCAATGCATCCAGGCTTCCAGCGGCGGTCTAACATCAATCGGTTCACGATCTCAATCAGAATTGTAATGTTTATATTCTCATTGTTATTTAGGATTACAATTGATCAGTCGCTTATTGGCATATTTGCATCCTGTGTGAATTGCCTTAATATAGCCTTAAGTCACAAGCTTTTTAGGCGAAGATAGTTAGTGGCTAGCAGTTGAATCCATTAAGTGTGTTTCCGAGATGTAGGTACATCCACCTGACAAGTCCCAAATAGAACGAAACGTACGTCCTGGATCCGAATGCTAGCCATTATCTATCTATGTCAATAATCATATTTCACTGATTGAAATCATGAGTCAATTGAAGCTAGACCACCATGGAAAACCTGGGAGCACTGGACGGCCATTTCTTCCTAGTATGAGACTGTCTAGCAGTGCGCACCCACGGTCCCGCACACAGCGGGATTCGAACTTAGGACCTATCAGTCTCGCGCCATACGCCTAACCAACTAGACTACTGATCTGGCCGGCATCCAACGGTGTTAATGTTTAACTTCAACCAATCCACGAAATTGAGCCATCATACACCATTATTTTCAGTGAGTTGATATCTCACAACAGACCTGGTTGAACTCCACTGGTCACAGTATCTAAATAGAACTCCAGGAAAGACCTCTTGAAGCTAGTTACTAGTGAGCATATGGCGATTAATAACAAAAGAGGGTTTTGTGCATATTATAGTTATTTCATTAATTGAGATCATGAGTTAATTGAAGCTAGATTGATAGGTTCTGGGTTCGAATCTTGCGAGGTGGGATCATGGATGTGCATTGCTGATGAGTCCTACACTGGAAAGAAACGGTCATCCAGTACCTCCAGGTCTTCTATAGTGGTCTAGCTTCAATTGACTCATGATTTCAATCAATGAAATTTCTAAAAAATCTCCACAAAACCCCTTCTGATAATAATCATATTGTTTTGATTTAATCAAACATAAGATAATGAATAGTTCAAGTGAACTTGCTTCATTCAATCTCATACTATAACTTCTACATGTTAAATTATAAAACTGATAATAATGCTGTTAAATATATTCGATACTAGTAGTTTATTGTAGTACATAATCAGTATGCAAAATTAATTAATAAACATCAACTGAACGATTCATTATGAAATATATGTATTACACAATGGTGATCTAACTTAAATAGATTCAAGAATTTCAATGAAATTCAACAGAACTTTATACTAACACTTATGATGCCCTTCTCACTAGTGACTAATTTCATAATGAAACTCTTAGATTTCTGTTGAGTCGGCTTTCGGAGAACTTCAACGGAGCCTACAGAGGCTCAAAAGGAGCCGAAGAGTCCTAGCCAATCAGAGCATGATGGAGCATTCTCGAATTCCAAAGTGGCATGCTACTATTGGTCAATAGCATAATATGTCGTTAACGGATTGGCCGAAATATGATGATACGTTAACATCTATAAATACCCATGTTTTCTGTACAAAAACGAACCTTAGAGTAAAGTATTTCTGTCATACTTTGCGTCTTCTCGCTGGTGTTCAGGTCGCTGTTTAGTTCCAGCTTGTGGGTTACCAGAATAGCTTAGGAAGCAAATATAGCGTTCAATCAACAAGACTTATCAAATTCTAATAAAAAAACCCCATAACCAATGAAGTTCAACCATATTGCATAGAAAACAGTTATCAAACACATACATTATATGATCATTGTGTCCATATCATGAATTGATTGAAGTTAAACATACGAACAATGTTGAATTCCATGTTACTGGTCTAGAAGTGAAACATTTGTACGAAACCAAAAGTTCTTGGTTCGATTCTCAGTCGGGTGTGTGTGTGTGTGATTGTGTGCGTATGGATGATTACTATTCAGTATTCCTGTACTAGAACAAAACGATCATTTCTATTGGGTGATCTATTATGGATCTGGTTCATCATTTCCACAATATGACACAAGTTCATAAAAAACAATAAAGGACTATTTATTTCTTTACAAAGAAAAAAACAAAAAAACATTTTCCATATTAATTAATTACCATGGATTCATTGAAAGTTTTATTCAGAGATTTCAGTTCTCTATTCTAATGAATATCATTTTGAATAATTGAATTTTGATAAATCTTCATTGATATTTAATAAAATAGGTTTAGGTGCTGGTGGAGGTGGTGGTGATGATGATGATGGTGACGATGATGGTGATGATGATGAAGGTGCTAAATGTTTTAATGGAAGATCAAGATGTGACCAATCTTCATCAATCGATTTATATTTCATCATTGATTCATTTAAATCATTAATAACTAGCTACAAAAACAAAAACAAACAATAAAAGTAGGTTATTATCATTACAAATGAACAAAAGTTCCAAGCGGACTGTTTGAATATCTGGGCTATCTATTTCCTGTCATTTAGATATTTCACACATTTACCATTTATTTATTTTAACACAGATATTGGTACAAGGAGGCACCAGATATATATGCGCCACACAATTTTCGTTTGATATGTGTGAGGGCTGTGATACTGCCAGGGTGCCCAAACCGAAGCAGGTGGTTTTCTTAGACGGCCACACCCCGAGCCTTTGACCTGAAGGTCTGATCCACAAGGCAGTGGCGCGACGTAAGAAAATGCAGTCCCATGGTAACCGGTGACCAACCATTGGTTCATACGCAATTTGTTCCTTTAGGATACTGGAGCCCATGTGCACCATTGATTTGGAATCAGTTTTTTAACTCTCCTAGGTGAACTCTCCATGTCCACCAACCCTGTTAAAGTTCCGGACATTCACTTTTCATCCTCTCAATTTCGTAAACAACACCCCCGCCACGAGAAGGCAGTGAGTAGGACTTCCTTGACAGAGGCTATATATATTTCACACAAGTTATCTATTTTTTTGTTTGTCATTATACTTATTTAGTCACATAACCTATTCAACTGAGTTTGTGAAAAGTGTACAACTTATTGTTATACAAGTTACAAAATAGCCTAATCAGAGATACCATAGTTGCTAGCAGGCAATATGCATTGAAACGAATGAACATTATTCAGATATCGATTTCTGAACTGCTTACTTCTAACTGGCGATCATTCAATATATTATCGTCAGGATAGATAAAGATATATGAAAAGGAAAGGTGTTGAATTACTTTATGCTGAGAATTCTATATTGTACCAAAACTATAATAATGAATAAAGCCAATAATAAAAATAGTCAGTCAGTAACAACGTAGGACATCGTACGTACGTACATCAGTTCGAGTTGCCATGCCACATTAACACAGAGATAAAATTGTCTATTCAAATCCCATAGTGGTATAAGTAGTGAGAGGATAATCAGTAATCGAAAACATTAGGGTTTGAAGCTGTTATTCAAAGAGTATTATCCAGTAAAATAAATTTGGAATGAGAAAAAAAGGGAAATGAAGAATTCGGAAATGTGAGGATTTTGGAGAACACAAAGAGTGGATGCACCTGCGCACACCATTGCAAACGATTTTGAGCCATGTCACATTCAAGGTCTCTAACCATCGGTTGCTATCGTCTCGTAGGTCCCAACCAGGTAGTCTACACCTACCAACATGACTCAGTCCACTTGTTAGTGATTTCATGGATTTGTACCATGTTTTGGTATGTATGGCGACAAATTAATCTTCAAAATAAATAGTTCTTTAAGTCTTTGAAATTGATTCTGACGTTATTGGTTTTACTAGACAATTCCAAGCTGAAGGTTCTCGGTCATGCATCCGTATAAGATTATCATTGGGTACACCGGACTAAGCATTTCCTAGTAATAACTAGTTGGTTTACATTACACACACATACTTCATAACTTATCGACTATCTTTCGAAAAATACTCCTTTATTTCTGACTCCTAGCTTGATTGTGTTTAGGATCCTTCGATTATAAAGTTGTTATGAACAACAACGTTGTCTAACTCTGAATATTCATGACATCTTTATCTATATTTCATAGGAAATTTAGACTTCTCCTAAAGCAAATCAATATTGTTTCATTATTTAACATGCCATATGAATAACATTGTGTTCACTTTCTCAAACGCATTGGGTAAGACTGTAATTTATGGATGAACCAATCAAGCATAAGATAACAGATCTCGGATTTTGGCACGAAATTCGTTCATCCGTTAGGTTAAATAGTCTTTTGACATTATAGATGATATTAGTTTGTGATGAACACTCTAGATCTAATTCCTAATCTAAACCATCAACTGTGAATCATAATTCTATTTCCTCACCCTGATTTATAACACTCATTTAGCTCTAGCAAGTAGATAGACACTCTCCACGTCACTTTACCGTCGCTGAAAGGTCGTCCATAAATTATAGTCCCATCGAATTTTCTAGCTGAGTGGTTCTTTGAGAAATATGTTACTCTTTCAAGTTAATGGATGGTATAATATTTCGAGTTATCTCTAAAAACATATTTTATTCTGTTGAGGAGACCGTGAAAATTCCTTGAAAAACAAAACAAACCAAAAGAGGCCCTGAAAACAGTAGAGAATATTTTATGCAGTAAGCGTCGATAGAAGTGTCCCAGAAACATCTGAACAATGAAATGTCACATCTTTGGTTTGTACAGACTGTAGAATGTGGTAGGTTTGATTCCTGAATACTGGATCGAGGATGTTCATTGCTGAGTTGTTGCACGCTAAGAAATAGGTGCTGTTCATTTCTTCCTGATTTTCAACGATCGTTTGACTTAGAAGTTATTCTATTAAAATCTAAAGGTTAACATTGGATAGTTTTGATGATTTATCAAAAAAGGCTTTTATATTCTTACTAATGTTCTTCACTTCATCAAAACTATCAATTAAGTATAAATGATATATCAATGACAAACCTGATTTAACCAATTTTGTCTTGGAGTTGTTGATTGTTTTAAATACATTTGAGATAATTCTTTATTGATTTCAGTAGATTCTGTATTATTATTATTATTATTATTATGCCTTGAAGACCATAGATTAGATGGAGGAAATGATGAACAATATACAGGTGGATTAGGTGCAGGACCATGTGGATCAATAGATGGTGGTTGATATACAATAACAGAAATATCTTCATTGATTTGTGATTTTTCATTCTTTTGTGGTATACTCATAAAACCGGATTTTGTATTGTTCATCTGAAAGGGTATAATAGATTGAAAAAAATTATCGTGGATTAGTTGAAGTTAGACATTAACACTGTTGAATGCCGGCCAGCTGTGGTCTAGTGGTTAAGTGCTCACGCGCGAAACCAATAAGTCCTGGGTTCGAATCTCGCAGGGGTCGAGGTCGTGGATGAGCACTACTGAGAAGTCCCACAATAGGATGAAACGGCTGTCCAGTGATTCCAGGTTTTCCATGGTGGTCTAGTTTCAACTGACTCATGATCTTAACCATTGAAATTACTATAATATCCACAAAACCCATGTGCTATATATATGTTTCCTTTACTTCAGCCTTTACAGAAAATATATATAACTGTAGGTCATATTCTTTACAATCAAATGTATCATCGAACATATTCATTTGTACTTCATCAAATAATTTATTCTAGTCAAATTTCTGGATTCTCTATTCTTTGTTTCTAGAGAAACCTTACACTTCTAAAATCTATGAGAAAAATTCAACTAACCTATATAAAAGAGTTGAATTTCACACCCTTCGGAAGGTTATATGTGGTATTTACTACTTATATCGACATAAGTAGTATATGACGTTAGACAGGAACAGAATGTCTGGCAGTAGAGAGACAAGAGGATCGAATGGAAACAGAATGCGATTTGTGTGAAAAAGCAAGAACAATGAAATCTGAGTCATTTTAAGACAATCGATGGACATTTTGCAAATTAACTAGTTACTATATGGTTCTCATATTTTATTGAAATGATCTGTAATTTCTTGCTCATATACGCCCGATTGTCCCCACTGGTGTTCTTGTTCACTACATATATGCCACAAAATAAATTTCTTTAATTTATGCATAACTTAATTGAAGTCTACTTCGTATTGTTTGGCCTGTATCTTCCCATTGAGGTTTTAAGACTGCAATTGATCAGTCTGTTAATGGCATATGTGCATAGTGTGCGTATGCCTCGATATTGCTTTAATTCACAAGCTTTTTGTAAGCAATGATGGATAGTAGACTAGCAGTGGAATCCACGACGCGAGTCACTTAGTCTTATTTACGTCTCGTTAGCTGGATGTACCTGCATCTCAGAGTTGATGTTCACTCTGGGACTCACAAGCAAATGGCCATCAGGACTCAGTAGCTGAGTGGATAACGAGATGGCGTTTGAAGCGAATGGTACTGGGTTCGAGTCCCAGAGTGAACTTTAACTCTTAGGTGCAGGCAAATCTAACTGACGAGTCCCAAATAGGACGAAACGTGCGTCCTGGATTCCACTGCTAGCCACTATCCATCATTGCTTACAAAAAAATTAATTGAAGTCTGTTTAAATAATCCAGATAGTGCGACAGTGTAAAAGATTATTTACGTTTTGATGTTTTACTTTCATTTAACATCTTAATAGATGAACATCATTAGCTAATTTTTGTTATATGATTGTGACTAGCGGTGAAATCTAGAACGCTAAGTGGATAACGCGATGACATTTGAAACGAACGGTACTAGGTTTGAGTCCCGGATCAGGTACATCCAGCTGATGGTTCGCAAGTAGGACGAAACGTGCGTCCCGGATTCCACTGCTAGCCACCTTCCATCTTTACTTAAAATACTTGTGACTTAATGCAATATTGATGTGATTCGTATAGGATGTATATATACCAATAAGAGACTGATCAACTGCAGTCCTAAATATCAATGGGAAGATATTCCATTACTGTTTCCAATATGACACAGAATTTATTACATTACTGTATTATGATAATTAATTCTACAAATAAGCTATATGTCTATGTAGAGCTGAAGGTTTCATATGAGACTGGAGGTTTGTCATTGATATTCTGAATGGTTCGGCATTACTTTGGTAAGTTTTGCTGACTGTTCATGCACAAAATTGGTTTGCTTGCTAAATCGATTTCATTCATACTGGTGATTGTATTCCAGTGTTCTCAAGGGTCATTTGTCATTGGGACCTTGTAAGGAATGTCACCATTGCTAACATTAATGAGTTTGACTGTCAGGTAAGCGGAATAAATCAACTTTGGCCTGTTCATGCTGTGCATAATTGATTCACACGATCATTGATCGAAATAGCTATACATGTGACGTGAATGTGTGTATGAATGGTCCACCAAGTTGCTTGGTACCTGTGTGGTTACGCCACAGGGTTGAGTTGTACTATTCAAATCGTAGCGTTAAAGCCTATACTGTATCTGGTTCTCCTGTGAAGTGGGATTGGGCTGTACTGTTTGGGTTATCAAGTGAAAGTCTGGATGATGTTTGGTCCTCCTGAAAACCAATGTAAAATTACCCTGGCCCACAAGGGTATATTATATAACTATAATGACTATGAGTTCTACTGTGAGTTCTAGACCTAATCTCTTGAACTATGATTCATTTATTTAGAAATGGTTCTAATACTATCAAACAAATTATGAATGTAATATTAGAATGATTATCTAATTAATTACATACTTTTGTAATTATACTTTATAGTAAAGTACTTGATTCAAAGCCATATGATACTTTATATTTCTGTAAGTAAACTTATGGAAGTACAATTTCGAATAAAAGTACATTTTAATGTTCTTATTAAAAAAAAAGTATTACAAAGTGATGATTCAATTCATACAAACTTTGGTTATAGCTTTTCTAGAGTTACTGCCGTTTCCAAGCCCAGATAAAGGAAGTTAGGTTGGGCATATAAGTTAGTGACTTCATTTCATTTAAACTTATAACAACCTTACTACTGTGCTAAACTTATGGCATTCGACTGGTATATGAGCAGTCTAGTGTTCTTATTGATCCTTTGTTCGCCTAACTCTGTCTGTTGAGTCCAGAACATCAATAACTGCTTCCACTATGCGAATCATTTATTTCAAACATACTTGATTTATATTACCAGCCAAACAGGACCACATCAAACCATGAAATAGGAAAACACATTTATACAAGATCAAGCCAAAAAGTGTCTATGAACGTGGGGGACTGTAATTAATAAACTGAGTATTATTTAAGAATAGTACGTCGTACAGTAATAGTTTATAGATCAAAATGAAGAGGAATCTGGATATACACAATCTAGTTACTGAATAATTATACAATAGGAATATATTTTATTTTAACACATAGATAATGGTACAAGGAGACACTAAATATATATGCGCCACACAAATCTCATTTGATATATGTGAGGGCTGTGATACTGCCCGGGTGCTCAAACCGAAGCAGGGATAGGAACAATAACGGGGCGGGTTTGCATTCATATAGCATACAATTCTTTTTGAACCTAGCACACAACAATAGCATCATGCACTTTCCCGTCGCCCTTGGCAGATCAGGCCACCTGAAGGTTACGAGAACACCATCAGGGCATACGACAGGCTAGGTACCCCATAGGAATATATTGTATAATATTAGTCCATTATTAGGTCTTAGAAGTTACTTGTAATGTAATCTTCACTAAGATATAACAATTGAGGAGATCAATATGACATTTATTGATTTTAACATTTGACTCTGATGATATCGAAAAGATTGTATTCTTATAAGAAAGTAATGAATGATTTTTCAGTGTACAATAAGTCCTCATCTTTTTTTCATCAATATGATGTTATAATAGTTAGTTGATTTGATCTAATTTATCATTATCATGGATTTTCAGCGCTGAACTCAAATATTTTGAATGACCTATAAGTGGTTTTTGTAAGCAATGATGGATAGTGGCTAGCAGTGGAATTCAGGACGAGCGTTTCGTCCTATTTGGGACTCGTCAGTTGGATGTACCTGCATCTCAGAGTTGATGTCCACTCTTGGACTCGAATCCAGTACCGTCCACTACTGAATCCTGATAGCTACTTGCTTGTGCTGATAAATTGCAGTCTTATACCTCAATGGAATGATACAAGACAAACAATACTAAGTGAATTATAAGTGGGTTTCGGAGTTGAGTTTATAGAAATAAATATTCTTGTTATGAGTTTATCATAGCTCTTAGTACGTTTGGAAGTCAAGAGAATCAACAAAAGACGTGACAAAATTAAATTATTATCTTTAGACAAATGAAATATGATTAAAAACTAGTTGGAAATGTTAATAGTTGAATTCATGAATCGATGTAAACTGGATGCACTGGACGGCCATTTCATCCTAGAAGCCATGACCAGTTGAGTCGATTCCGTATCGGATAAAGACAGGTATTTAACTCAGATAATAGATGAATGATTGCGCAAGATTATGGATCGATTGAAGTTAGACATTCACACTGTTCTTTGCCAGCTTAGTGGACTAGAGGTTATGCGTTCGCGTACGGGACCGAAGGTCTTCGTTAGTTCAAGTCGTGAGTTGTGGATCGTGGAACGCACTGCTGAGAAGTCCCATACTAAGATGGAATGGTCATCCATTGCTTTCAAGTTTTTAATGGTAGTCTAGCTTACATTAACTCATGAATTCAACTACTAAAATCATTACAATCTCGACAAACTCCCATACCAATAGTTCAAAATTTATTGTTTTATGTACTATGAATGATAATGGAAAAACTAAATTATAAAACAAAATTGATAATCCATTTATTTTAAATTACCTTCAAGACATCTGTTAACAGATTATCTCTTTCTTTTATTCCTACAGACGTGGATATTTGAAAAGGTTTAGATGTATCTCTAACATCTATTTTATTAACTTCTGAAGGTATTTGAGGTAGTTGACGTTTGTAATATTTAACACTTCGATTAGAATGAGAATTTCCATTGATTGGCTGAACATCTGGTAAACAAGCGGTCCAAATAGTCTTGATAAAAGAAAAGTATAACAATAAAGTACAATATATGATGTATTACATTTAAATATTATAAAATATACTCAAAAACGGTTGAATGACAAGTCTCAAAATAGGATGAAATACGCGTCAAACTTGATTCCACTGCTAACACCACTATCCATCTTTGTTTATAATGCTTGTGAATTAAGGCTATATTGAGGTAATACGCAAACTATACACATACGTCAATAAGAAACTGATCAATTGTAATCCTAAACATCAATGAGAGGATACAAATAAACATTACCAAGGTTGGATAATAAGAGTTTAACTGTTATAGTTGATTATAAAACTATTGTTTATAGACTGATTTGATAAGTTTGATAAATCAACAGAGAAATGGAAAATAATGGGTAATATGTAATTAGGATTTAAGAATTATTGATTAATTGGACATCCTATCATATAGACAATAAAGCTGTAATTCTTACACTCTAAGTTGGAAAGAAACTAAACAACTAAGTTTCATATTCACTTAGTGTTGTTCTAGTTATATCTTCCCATTATTATTTAGGAATGGAATTGATCAGGCTCTTGTTGGCATATGTGACTCCATTGTACAGGCTAGCGGATATCAGGACTCAGTAGCTAAGTGGATAACGAGATGGTGTTATAAGGGAACGGTACTCGATTCGAGTCCCAGAGTGAACATCAACTCTGGGATGCAGGTACATCCAGCTAACGAGTCCCAAATAGAACAAAACGCGCGTCCAACTGGATTCCACTGCTAGCCACTATTAACTAATATTCAGTTTCACAAAAATGATTGTTTAAAAATATTTAATGAGAACGAAGCTACTACAGTAAGCGGCAAGCTTTAAAATAATAAAAGGTAGTATCTATAAAACAATTTTGAGTGAATAAAATATGTTTAAAATATGATTGATTTATAGGATGATGTATCTAGCTATTTCAATGAAAGTCATTTGTACCTTGCTCTAGGAAGTGTATAGCAGTATTTTCTAAATTTGACATTTGAAATAGTTAACTCTTTATTACAGGTTTTTACAACATTCTGTTAAATAAATCTTTCAGTAATTGAAATCATGATTTAATTGAAGCTAGATCAATATGGAAAACCTGAAAGCACTAGACGGCCGTTCTGTTCTAGTATGGAACTCTTCAGGAATGCACACCCACAATTCGAACACAGGATCTATCAGTCTCGCGCGCGAGCGCTTAACCACTAGACCACTGAGTTGGCTGGCATCCAACAGTGTTAATGTTTAACATCAACCAATTCATGAAATTGAGTCACACATCCACCATTGTCTTCCGTGAGCTGATATTTCACAACAGACCTGGTTGAACTCCAATGGTCACGGTTTCTCACTAGAACTTCAGGAAATACTTCTTGAAGTCAGTCATTAGTGATCAGATGATTATTATGAGAAGGGGTTTTGTGGAGAATTCAATAATTTCAATAGTTGAGTCAATTAAATCTAGACCACCATGAAAAACTTGAAAGCACTGAACGGTAGTTTTGTCCTAGTATAAGACTCCTGAGCAATACAGATCCACAATCTCGCTCGCGAGATTCTAACCTAGAATCTAACGGTCTCGTGAGTGAACGCTTGATCTCTAGATCTTAGTTCACTTTTTGTAACTTAGAGAAATCTTTACCAATCAAGCTTCAAATTTAACTTAATGGTAGTGTGTTAACTGTAATTGTTTTGTATGGAGTACATAGCAAATTATATTTCATAAACATTATGTATATACAACAATATAGTAAATAAATGATTGATTTATACCTTAGGTAAATCTAATAATTCTTCCAAGTCCTTATTAACCATACCATTAGAATATCCACTAGTATTCCCACTTTTATTGATCAATTTATTCATCATTAAATTTCTTGGTATACTAGTATAAACTGTAAAATCTGAAGGATCAATTGTTTTCCTATGTTCTTTTAAATTAGAATAATAATTTGGCCTAAGTATAGCTGCAGCAATTGATGGTGCTGGACTAGGTGTTTCACTTCTTATTGTTGTAAATAAATCCTCTTCATCTTCTTCTTCTACTTCTACTACCTCTTCTTCGTCTTCTATTTCAGATCTATTCTCTTCTTCATTCATATTAATCAAATCATTTCCTTTATTATTTACATTTTGTAATTCATTTATAACATTGATAGATTGTGATTGATTATAATGATTTGATTTATATAATGGTGAAATATGATGAACTGATTCTTGTATATAAGGAACAGTTGAAAAGTCTGTTGATTTATATAATGCAGAATTTGATCCATATGGTAAGGTTGATATAGGGCTTATAAAAAGATAAAATTAGTAAGAAAATAACAAAATCTAAATAAAGATATATATTAAAACGTGTTTATTAAAGTGTGAGATTCAACTAAAAAAACACCAGGGTTTCATGCTACTTCGCATTCGTCTCAACATAGTGCATGCAATGTTGAGTCACCTAGACTATTGGTCACTTTGCAACTTGGTTGAACTAAGAGGGGCTTGACATACATGACATTGATCATCACCCAGTGATCAATCAACTGTGCTTATGAAAACAATTTCACGTTATTTTTACCTACTCATAAGTAGTTTAAAAAAATAAAGTAAATTGTGATATTGAATCATATAACACAGTCCCTATATTATAAATTCATCGACAGAATTGGATTCGTACTACGATCAATAAAACATGAGAATAGGTACTGTTTGAAGATCGATTGATATAAAAATCTTAATCATACAGGAAGTTTGTAGTGATCATAACAGTTCAATGATAACATCGTAGGCTTTGATGCTAATTAACATACATTAAAATTCATAAATTATCTTTGGTAATCACGAAGAAACAACCAAGGAATGTTGAAATATCCTGTTAAGGTTTATGACGTTTATTAGGTCAAGTAGAATGAATTTGGATAACATTTTTTCCATTTAAATACTAAAGCTGTATGTGTGAAATGAGCTATTTTTTCTGATTATCATATAATCTTTTCGGTAATACTGTGGTGTGTGCTACTTATATCGACATAAGTAGTATATGATGTTAGTCAGGAACAGAATGTCTGACAGCAAAGAGACAAGAGGATCGAACAGGAAAGAATGGGAACAGAATGCAATTTGTATGAAAATGCAAGAACAATGAAATCTGAGTCACTTTAAGACATCTAACGAACATTTTGCACATTAAGCATTTACTATATGATTGTTAGATTTTAATAACAACTCATGTAAGCTTGAGTTGAATGCATTCGATTTTCTCCGCTCGTGTTCTGTTAACTACAATACTATCTAACCAAAAAGCACATTTTAATTTCATGTTATGACTGTACAAATCCATTGAATCAGCCAAATCAATGATAACAATATGAAACTCCAGATATATACGATTACGTTGAATTGATACTTTAATCTCTATGGGAAATAAACAAACATTAATGTTTTAATAGTTGAGGTCATGAGTCAGTTGAAACTAGACAACCATGGAAAACATGGAAGCCCTATATGGCCATTTCGTCGTATTGTGGGATTCCTCAGCAGTGCACATCCACGACCCCGCCTGGTGGGATTCGAAATCAGGAACTATCGGTCTCGCGTATGAACGCTTAACCCCTGGATCATTGACTTAGCCTGTATCCAACAGTGTTTATGTCTAACTTGAAAGAATTCGCGAAGTCATGCCACAGTCTACCATTATCTTCAGTGAGTTACTATCTGATAACAGACCTGGCTGAACTCCCTTGGTCACTACTTCTTACTAGAACTTCAGGAAATACCTCTTGAAGCCAGTCACTAGTGAGCATATGTTATCAGCTTCAATGTATCATCTTTCATTTCATGGTTAATATACTTTTATGACTAGTAAATGAATTATTAGTTTTGTACACATTATATCTATTGCGTTTGATAACTAATTGCATATCTTGTAGGTGTTATTCGTGTACTATCTCTAATGATTAACAACACGATCTGGAATTATCGTTAATTTAAATTTCTATATGAAATACTGAAACATCGCTTGTAGCACTTCCATAGTTACTGCCGTTCCCAAGCTTGGGTAAACGTGAAGGGTTGGACATAGGGTTGGTAACCCTATCCCATAGAAAACTAAATCGCTCAAAAAAAAAACGCTAACCAGAAAAATAAAATACTGAAATAGATAAATAGTTATGCATATCTATTGAGTAGGTTATTATTTAAGTAATATATAATTGGTCTAGGCTGCAGTTGTCTACGCAAAATACTTCAGATCCGTTTTCCAGACACTACTAGCAACAACCTTCTCTTGGAAAGAAAAAACCAGATCCCAGCGGAGGAAGAAATCAGGAAGAAGCACTGGAAGTGGATAGGACACACATTGAGGAAATCACCTAACTGCATCACAAGGCAATCCCTCACATGGAATCCTCAAGGCCAAAGGAGGAGAGTAAGATCAAAGAAGAACACATTACACTGGGAAATGGAGATAGACATGAGTAAAACAAGAACAATAATTGAATGGAACTAGAAAAGAAAGCCTACGACGGAGTGAGTCGGTTGGAGAATGCTGGTCAGCGACCTATGCTCCATTACGAGTAACCGGCGTAAGTAAATAAGTAAGTAAGTAGTATATCAATCGAAATGATAAATATATCTCAAAATGATAATGTAATACAATAATTACCGATTTTTAACATTATTTCTATCCGTATAAATAGTATTATTCCATGCAGCTGGTTTTATTGAATATTGTTTCTGTGGTACAGTATCATCAATTATATATCCATTATCAATTCTTTTGTTTGGATGAACAGAATAATATTTGTCATTAGATGTATTATACTTCTCTATATGTATAGCCTGTTAATAAGATACGAATAAAGTTTAATGAATATAGAATTGTAACAACAAAAGTTGAACAAATTACTTTCAATAATCAGCAATGATGGATGGTGGCTAACAGTGGGATCTTTTGTTGACATTCTGGTGTCGATTAGACCAATAAAGATGTCAAGCTGCTCATACCAGTCGAACATCATTGATTTAACACAGTACTAAGATTGAATAAGTTGTATTACGATTGTCGAATAAATCACGCGATATCTAGTCGGGCTAATTATAATCACAACATCATAACATTCTTCGATATTCACAAAGTGAATGAGAGTGTTCTTTATTATCTAAAGTATACAACTATAGGTTTACTCTTTGCGAATAAGATGATGGTTGGTATTTCTAATAGGTTTCTACTTGACTAGAGCTTACAATATTTAGAACAGTAGTTATAATCAGCATAGAAATTCGTGGAGAATATTGAATACCATTGAGATCATGAACCAATCCAAGTTACATATATACATATCTCGTAGATCAAAATTAAGTGATGTAATCAGTTCAGTTGAATTCATAGAGGCTCATAAAAAAAACATAATAATTCAGGGCATAAATTTGATATATGAATATTTCAGTATACAAGAAATAACCGATGGTTTTCAAATATCCTATGTATTTATCTTCGGAATTGAGTACTTTAAAAAAAGATTTCTTTCTCGCTGTTTAAAGACATCATTGAATTACCCATGCAGTCAGCTACAACATAGGACCAGGCACATATATGCATCAGTCCAAGTTGCCATACCTATTTAGTACAGTAAGGTGAACACCGGATTCATAGTAGTTAATTCAGAGGTGGTAATATATAAAAGAAAGATTGTAATAAGTATATAGTAGAGGAAGAACGAATAAGTTGGTAGAAAGAAGGATATGAAGTGATTTCAATCTCATCGTTTAAGGAAAGACAGCGAGTGTATACACCTACGTACGCCATTGTGATATATTCTGAGTCATATCACCCACAGTCTCTAACCATTGGTTACAATAATCACGCAGAACCCAACCAAGTAGTCTGCATTTACCAACATGGCTCAGACCAGGAGTTAGAAGGCGCAAAGTCTTCAAGGACATATATCATATTATTTACTACTAATTATCTTATCTGATCATTGGAGTGTCAAGTTTCAGAAATCTATTTTCGTTTCTTCTTGAAGAACTCATACCTTTTACATTGTCGAAACATAGAGTTGGCCAAATTAACAACAACAACAATAATAATAATAATACTTAACACCCCAAAGATGATTAATCAACATTCAGTAATCAATAAAAGTTATAACTCAAAAAAAAGAAAAAGAGAAAATGAATACATACATTTCCTTCCATTATTTTATTCAAACCTCCAATTCCACCATTATCAACATCTTCATCTTCATGACTACCTTGACTAATTGTTGGTAGCATTATTCTTTGTGATGTAGAATTTAAATAATCAGAAATCAATACTTTTGATGTATTCAATTTTGATGTTTGATTTGATTGTAAATGATCATTAGAAATTAATGGTAACTTTTTATCCGTTGACTCTAATGAAGGTTTGTATGGCTGTGATAATTTTTCACGTTCATTACATTGTGAAACTTCTGAATGACGTCTTGAACTACCTACTCGATGTATAACATTTTTTACTGAGTCTAACAAACTATGATGCTATAGAGTATGAAAATATAATGAACGGAAAACTTTAATATCAAACAATTTATAATATTTATGTGAAAAGATAAATATCAGTATAGGGTTGTGGAGATTAGTAAGTTATTGATTGAGATTATAAACCGAATTATGTTAGATAACCATTGAAAATCTGGAAGCACTGAACCAGTGGGGCTAATCCATATCGTGTAGAGACAGGTATCTACTTCAGTACAATGGAAGATGGTCGCACGATTTTGTGGATTGGTTGAGGTTAGATATTAAGACCGTTGGATGCCGGTCAGCTGAATGGTCTAGTAGTCCGAGCGTTTGTGCGCGAGACTGGAGACCTTGGGTTCAAATCTCGCGAGGGGAGATCGTGAATGCGCACTGCTGAGGAGTCCCACAATAGAACGAAACAGCCATCCAGTGCTTCCCGATTTAACAGTGTAAATCATCTGACAAATTAGGTTTTCTATTTTTTGTTTCAGGGTTATTGACTTTACATTGATCAATGGTGAATATCAACATTAACATGGTAATATACTGTGAAGAACTAAATTTCATAATGTTGGATTATTGAAGGCTAGAAAATACAGGTCTGTGGTAGTCTAGGGATCATTTAATGAGCCAATTAACTTACAGTCATTATCTTAAAACATAATAAATGTAAATTATTTACTAAAATGTGGGAATTTTAAAGTCAAAGAATGAGGATTAAACCACAACAACGTCATTTAGTAGCATTTTTGATCAAAGAAAACAACAACAACAACATCCAATCACTGGATTTTGACTGGTTTGGTTATATAGTTGAATTCATGAGTCAATTAAAGCTAGAGCACCATGAAAAACTCAGAAACACTGGATAGCCGTTTCATCCTAATATGGGACGTTTCAGCAGTGCGAATTTACGATCACACCTGCGGGATTTAGTTCATTAACCTGGAAAGTTATATCATCATAATAGTTGAAGAATAAATGATCAGTTAGTACTATTATTATAATTTACTTTAATGAAATTTATTCAGAAATCAGTTGGTTTAAATAACTGAATGCTTGACGATACTATAATTTATGGATGAACCAATCAGTTATAGAATAATAGATCTCTCATTTTGGCGCAAAATTCATTCATCCATTTGACTAAATGGGGTTTTGGTATTGTTGCTGATGTCGGTTCGTGATGAAAACCCTAAATCTAATTTTTAAACTTAATCATCAACTGTATATCATATTTCGAATTCCTCACCCTAGTTTATAACCCTCATTTAGTCTTAGTTATTAGGTGAACACTCTCAAGGTCAGTCTAACGTCGCTCAAAGGCTGTCCATAAATTATAGTCCCACCGAGTGCTTTAATCATTTATTAAAAAAGAGAATGTTATAAAATGAAAATCAGTCAGTCAGTCAGTAACAACGTAGAACTTCGTACGTACGTACATCAGTTCTGATTGCTACATCACATTAGCACAGAGATGCAGTTGTCGATTCAAATCCCTCGCTTCAAATTTCCTATAGCTTTTTCAATTTCGTAAAGAGTCGGAGGGCCTACATAAACTTGCCATTCAGGTTGACTAGAGATCGTGGGAAATCGAAGTGTGGTTGAAAACCAGTTGAACTGATCCCTAAAGTGTTCTGTCCATCTATCACATCGCTATCAGTCACCAATAGAGTGGTTCGATAGAAGACTGTCTCTTATTCTGGAGAATATGCTTAGATTCAGATCACGCTCTAGTGTGAGCGCGTATTCGCATGTGCCTTACTGGACGTAGGAAAGACGCTGCAAGGAAACCTCTTAGGTTCCTACTTAATGATAGTCATGCTAAGAGTATATTTCAGGAACATTCTAGAAACCTATAAAATTTTATCACACAGAAATATTGAAAATGCATAAAATGTGGATGAAAATACAGAAAAGAAACTAGATGAGACTATAATTTATGAATGACTTTTGAGTGACTCTAGACCGACTATGACAGTGTACACCTATAATAAGCAGTACCAAATGAAGGTTATAAACTAGAGTGATAAATTTGAATTATGATTTACAGTTAATGATTAAGATTAGGAATTAGATTTATGGTTTATCATCACCAAATGACATAAGCTCTAATGTCAAAACTCTATTCACCCTAATGAATGAATGAATAACGCGCCAAAATTCGAGTACCTGTTATCTTATACCTGATTGGTTCATTCATAAATTATAATCACACCAAAGTTTCTTTAAAGAAATAAACAAAACTGTAAATTATTGAAAAGAATTAGTTAATTAAATAATAATAAACATTTATTATGTATTTCATACTAACCGTATCCCCATCACCAAGGCTACCAGAACTTCCACGTTTACTTGTTTCTTCAGATGGTGGTAATAAAATATTCATTGAAGTATTTTGTGTTTCAAGAGAACTAGTTGTAGGTTTTCCAAAACTCTATTATTATTATTATAGAAAATGAATTATACATCATTATAAGATGAAAATCTAATTTAATTATCTTATATCTTTCTTTTTATAAAATGTAAGATACTACTAATAATAATATCAATGACTTAGTGACTAATGAATAAAATGTTGTCCAGAATATTATTCAGTATGGAATATAATTATGTTTTATCTATTTGAGTAATGTCTGTTGTGATTTCAATAGTTAAGATCATAAGTCAATTGAAGATAGAATACTATAGAAGACCTGGAAGCACTGGATAGTCGTTTCATCCTATTGTGGGACTACTTCTCAGCAGTGCGAATCCACGAACTCGACTCGCGAGATTCGAACATATGATTACTGGTGACTGGATTCAAGAGGTATATCCTGGAGTTCTAGTGAGAAACCGTGACCAGTCAAGTTCAACCGGGTGTGTTGTGAGATAATAACTCACTGATGACAATGGTGGATGTGTTGCTCAATTTCGTGGATTAGTTGAAGTTAGACATTAACACCGTTGGATGTCGACAGGTTCAGTGGTCTAGTGGTTAAGCACTAGCGCGTGAGACTGATAGGTCCTAGATTCGAATGTCGCAAGGTGGGATCGTGGGCACGTACTGTTGAGGAGTCCGACATTAGAACGAAATGGCCATCCAGTGCTTCCACGTTTTTCATGGTGGTCTAACCTTAACTGACTCATGATCTCAGCTATTGAAATTACTACTTACAAAAAAAATCCTTTTTAACACCTACGTTTTTGTTGCTAAAGTCTAAAAGAAGTCTGGGTTTCATCCAAATAAAAGCTATCAATCTAAAGATACTGGAATCTTTGATATAGTGTCTTAGTTACACAGTTAAGAACATATATATTAGTGTGAGGGGATTTTAGTGCACATTTCAAGATTTTCACAGTTTAAACTACGAAGTGTACATAGCTAGACCACCATTGAAAACTTGAAGGGATTGGATGACCGTTTCATCCTCATATGGGAATTCTCAGTATCGTCCACCTACGATTATGCAACCGGCAATTGTACACAGGACATTCAGTATCTTGAGCGAACACTTAACCTCTAGATTCTCGAGCCGATATTCAATGCAGTCATTGTTTAACTTCAATCAAATCACAATATGGAGCAACCATCATCCATTGAATGTGGTGGATAATTGTTCAACATTCGACACAATTAATCTGCAATAGTCATGGCTTCTCATTAGAGATCCAGCACATGATCACTGTTACTCTTAGGGGGATTCACGGAAATCTTAAAAGTTTTATAAACTTAATCATAAATATGTCGTTTATGTCATATCTTACCTCCATATAAATTCTTTCCCAGCACATAAATGATCATATTTTGTTCTTCTATCTTTATTTGATTCGTTTTATTACGTTCTAATGAATTGTGTAGTTCATGAATGACGGGCAAACTACTCATCATTTACGTTTAATGATGATATCAATAAAGTAATTGTAACCAAGTAATGAATAATCAATTTGTGTTACATAACTTCTTAGTTAACTAGAAGTTACAAATAGGTAGCTTTTTATAATTTTAAGTAAGTCGAAGTTGCAAAATACAATCTAATGAACAAAATCTGATTTAATTCAGTTTGGAATGGTTTGTTGCCTCAGATAGACGTAATAAAATATTCTTCAGAGTAATTTGTTTCAAGAAGAATAGTTGTTGGTCTTCTAAAATCAAAGTATATCCAATTGATAAGTTTCAAACATGACGAAGCACACCTCCTAGAATCCGTTGCCAGCCACATTTCATCGATTAAATCTCATACTTGTTGCACAAAAGAGTAGTTATCTGTATTCATTCAGCAGCTAAGTGGATAACGCGATGTGGTTTGAAGTAAAAAGTACCGGGTTCACGTCTCGAAATGAACATCAACTAACATCAAGCTGACGGGTCCTAAACAGGACGAAACGCATGCCATTATCCATCTCTCCTTATGATGACTTACTGTATAGTCATATATTCGGATAATCTATAAGCGTTTAACCTAATCGTATAAAGAAACTAACTAGGACATACGTAATTTATGTGTTTGTAAACGGTCATAAGGATTTATCTACTAGTTCATACATAAAAGTATACATATAACATTTGTTCTGAACAATTCATCGGCACAAACTTACTTTGAATGGCATGATTGAATGTCTTTTCCCCTAGAAAAAAATAATGATTAAAAAAACATTACAATGGATGTTTTAGAAACTTAACTTATTAGCAATAAATAAGGGAAATTATGTAATTCAATCTTTTATTACTAATATTAATCAGTAAGTATACTTCAAAATAACTGCGTATCAGATTATAAAACAACATCAGTATAGGGTTGTGGAGATTATTAAGTTATTGATTGAGATCATGAACCGATTGATGTTAGACCACCATTGAAAACCTGAAAGAACTGGATGACCGTTTCGTCTCATTGTGGGACGAATCCTCAGCATTTACGATCCCGCTCGCGGGAAGATGGTCGCACAATTTTGTGGATTAGTTGAGGTTAGACATTAACACCGTTGGATGCCGACTCAGTGGTCTAGAAGTTAAGCGTTCTTGAGCGAGAATGAGGGCTCTGATTTCAAATCCCGCGAGCGAGATCGTGAATACGCACTGCTGAGGAGTCCCATAGTAAGACGAAATGGCCGTCCAGTGTTTTCAGGTTTTCCATGGTGGTCTAGCTTTGATTGATTCATGAATTCGATTATTAAATTACTATAATATCCACAAAAACCCTTCTCTAATTGAAATCATTTCTTTTAGTTGTACTCTCATAATTATAATTGTTTGATAAATATACAAGTCTATAGAAAGATATAAGAAATTTCATCATGAAGTGATTTGTGATTTTAAAGGAGATTCCAAGAAGACCGCACAATGATCAAAAATAAGAGAATGAACATAATTTACCGGTTACAATTTGATAGATAATTGTTCACTTGACGGGTATGAAAGAAAATGAATAGTACGGAAAGATCATCACAACTTCTCATGATGGTCGTGAGTTCGATTACCGGATGTACAGTCGTAGATGAGCATTGCAGAAGAGTCACATACCAAAACGAAATAGTCATTTAGCGCATCCATGGCTTTTGATGATGGTTTAAACTGGAACAATTCACGATTTTAATCCAATTCAATAATTCCTATAACTCACATTGAATATTATTCAATTATCATGATGATTCGGTTTTTTATTTTCTATTAAATCTGTCAAGTAAACAATTATCTATCATATTTCTGACCGGTAAATTATTTTCATCTTCTTATTCTTCTTGTACTCTTTGATCATTGTTCGATCACCTTTAGATAGTTGAAATCTTATCGAAAAGAAAATGTTTTCTTCGTTGAATTCTCTTCATTTCTACTTGTGATTTCATCTTAAATGAGGCAAACGATATAGTAACGATTGTTATGATGTGAATAAAACTCCTGTTATTACTACTTCGTTCAACTAATTCAAGTAGTATTGTGGTGCGTGCTACTTATATTGATGTAAGTAGTATATGACGCGATTTAATAACTTAATGTCTGGTAGCAGAAAAAGGGGGAAGATCAAGAAAGGAAGAGCGGGAACACAATGCAATTTGTAAGAAAACGCATGAACAATGCAATGTGAGACAATGGATTGATAACTGCAACAGGGACAGTCCGGTTTGATATTATGGATTGATATTTTGCAAATTAACGATTTACTATATGGTTTTTCTTTTTTACCAAGTAATTCCGACTACATTCGATTGGATCGACTCGTGTTCTGTTCACTACAGTATCCCCTAACTAATGAAGATTTGTGATAAATTCTGATCTAGGTGTTATAGTTAGTTTATCTTAGGATGAATATCAACAAACGACATTGATTCTTACTTCAATAGATCATATTCAGGATAAAGAGAAGATAGTTATATAATCAATCAGAATCGTATACAATATCATCAACGTAGTGACTGAAAGTTTTCTTTTTAATTAACTAACTAGCTGAACAAATCTAACATTCTGAATTAAACTTGATTCCATTAGACTTCATTTTAATTAAAACTAGTATTTATTTGAAATAAATACTAGAATTACTGCTCATACCAAGTCTGGGTAAAAGAGGAGGGTTAAGCATGGGGTCAGCAATTTCATATTGTAAAGAAAAATCTTGTTGAAAATAAAACATTAACCAGTTTAAACAATGTAAGTCTTTCTTTGTCGTAACATAATTCAGTTCATTTTATCAAAGACATTACACTTTACTATGTAATTGAATAACTCCATGATTGATGAGTCAAAACTGTAGGGAAAATATTATTTTCAGTCAGTCAGCTACAAAGTAGAATCAGGCATATATATGCATCCGTCAAAGCTTCCATACCTCATCACCACAATAAGATGAACACCGAATTCATAAAAGTAGTTAATTCAGTGGTGGTAATATATAAAAGAAAGATTGTATATAAGGATATAGTACAGGAAAAAAGAATTAGTTTGTAGAAAGAAAGATATGAAGTGATCTTAATCTCATAGTTCAAGGGTAGACAGAGAGTGTATACACCTACGTCCGCCATTGTCATCGATTCTGACCAATGTCATCAAGAGTCTCCAACCATTGGTTACGAAAGTCACGTGGACCCCAACCAAGTAGTCTGCATCTACCAACATGGCTCATACTAGAAGTTAGTGACTTCAAGCACTGATGACACGTTTTGCTTTGGCCACTGCTAACTTTCTTCCATCCATCTCCAACACTAGTCAGCATTGCACGTCGTGGTTACTGGTGTTCAGGTATACGTAACACGTGGTCCAACCATCTCAGTCGATGAGAATTCACAACCTCATTAACTGATTTATAATCATTCTCTAATACCCTGGCATCTAACCTCACTATTACTTATCTGGTGATCCCAACAGAATCGAACAATATTTCTAAGACATCAAATACAAGTCTAGTTAATGATTATTCAATACAATGAAATCAATATAGTGAATAATAAAATTCAAGAAAAAATTAGTAAGTTAATATTTGGTTACTTGTCCATGTAATAAAGCTTTTTGTTCTTCAGCTTTTTTTTGTTTCCATCTACGAAACCATTCTTGTATTAAAAAAGTTGCATAAAATTTACCAACTGTTACATCATTATTTCCTATATACATTGAATAAGTACAAAATAAAGAAAAAATAATAAATGAATGAACATAAATATAGATTAGTTTATAAGGTGGAAGAATGACACTATGATGGATTATATCGTAATATATGACTGCCTCAGAGTTGATGTTCACTCTAGGACTCGAACCTAGCACCGTTCGCTCCAAATGCCATCGCGTTATCGTCTTAACTATTGAGTCGTGATAGTCACTTACTTATGTAATGAGATGAAGTTTAAATTCACTTCGTGTTACTTTACTTGTATCTTCACATTGCTATTTAGGACTTGATAGCTAAGTGGATAACGCGATGGTGTTTAAAGTGAACGGTATTCGGTTCGAGTCCCAGAGTAAACATCAACTTTGAGATACAGGTACATCCAACTGACGAGTCTTAAATAGTACAAAATGCATGTTCTGGATTCTCCTGTAAGGTACTATTAATCTTTGCTTAAAATGCTTATGACCTAAGGCTATATATCGAGGCAATCCGCACAGGATGTACATATACCAATAAGAGACTGATCAATTGTAGTGTCAAATATCAATGAGAAGATTCAAGTAAACAATACCAAATGAACGTGTTTACATGGTTTTAAATATAAAAATATACAAAAATGTCAATTCATGCCTTTTTGTTTTACTAGTAGATATTTCATGGTAAAAACGTGTAAATTACTTAGTTATTGTAGTGTTAAACTATGATATTCCCTAGTAATAGACAAATTCTATCAATAAGGTAGGGGGTATAAGAACAATGATACTAATTGATTTGACATGACAATCATCACATATGACAATGAGTAACTGAAAACAATTAAACAGAAGCTTTTGAAAGTATATTACACAAACTGTTTCTACTTATAAGTAGTATGACTAAATATTGTTTGTTCTAAAATTCCAATTTGTATTAATAACAAACATCAATAGATTATAATCTGTTAAATTTGTTTTATGGTGCTATCATAACATTAGTGAGTAGTATAAATCATGAGAAAAGCCATGAAATATACTGATCAGTCAGTTACTTTTACTGATCTGTGGTCCAGTAGGTTAAGCGGTCGCGCGCGAGACTAAAGGCCCTGGGTTCAAATCTGGCGAGGAGAGATCGTGGATGCGCACTGCTGAGGAATCCCATACTAGGACGATACGGCCATCCAATGCTTACAGGTTTCCAACGATGGTTTAACATCAATCAGTTCATGATCTCAATCAAAGATTCAAACTGTCTATATATTTGTAACAAAATGTTGATTTATATATTATACTACTGATATTTTTAACATCAAATTCGTATTTGTCCTAAATTAATTTTAAAAAATTTCCACCCAACATACAAAAAGATGGACAGTTCATAGATTCATTTAGCCTAGCTCATTATAATCTGTTCATATATCTACTACTTTACAAGAAAACCTTTAATTTCCTTTTGATTATAAATGAAAGCTATGAATTTTCAATAGACTATTTGATTTTTATTACTCATTTAATGTTACAGATGCGTAATCTAATGATCTCTAGTTTTCATTGATGTTAGCGAAATGATGAGTTTCCTAATAAAACTTATTTGGATTAAATTGTATCAACATATAAGCATATAAACTACATATATAAGAATTTACTCTAGCACTCAAATACCCTGATACTGCCTCCAAATTCCCTAGTACGGTTAAGAGTGGGGAGAGTCAACTCTCCCTCTAGAAATGTTCTCACATGGACACGTGCATACAACCACCGTCAAAGAAATCCTACCCTCTACCTTCTTTCGGCATTACTGTTGCTTACGAAATTGAGAGGACAAAAAGCGAATGTCCGGCGCTTTAACCGGGTTGATGGACACAGAAGGTTCACTTAGAGGAGTTGGAAAACCCCGATTCCAAACCAACGGTGTACATAGGCTCCAGAATTTTGAAGGAACAAATGACGTATCAACCAATTGTTTGTTACCAACTACCATGGGACTGAATCTCCTGACGTTGCTCCACTACCTTGTGGATCAGAACTTGAAGTCGAAGGCTCGGAGTGTGACCTCCTAAGAAAACCACCTGTTTCGGTTTAGGCACCCGGGCAGTATGCCAGCCCTCATACAAATTGAATGATTTATGTGGCACATAAATATGTGGTGTCTTCTTATACTAATGTTTATATGCTTAAATAAATGATATAAAATTCAATGCTTTTAACCTCAAAAAACTAATACCTAAATCATATAGATATTTCTATGTAGATTTAGTTATCATTAAATTAAATTTAATTGGTAATCGATAACTGCAATTTCGGTAATCACAATTAGAACATTCTTTTGATATTCGGAAACAAAGTAGTTTAAGTAACATTATCAATTGAATAAGATTAATTTGACTCATTTCATTAATAATTCAATTGGTAGCAATATAAATTCACTTGGTATTGTCTTATTTATATCTTTCCATTGTTATTTAGGATTGCAATTGATCGATCTCTTTTATGGTATATGTGTATCCTATGCGGATTGTCTTGATATAGACTTAATTCACAAGTATCATAAACAAAGATGGATGGTGGATAGCAGTGGAATTCAGTTTGACGCGCGTTTCGTTCTATTTGGGACTCGATAACTGAATGTATCTGCATCTCAGAGTTGATATTCACTCTGGGACTCGAACTCAATACCGTTCGCTTCAAATGCTATTGCGTTATCCACTTAGCTACTAAGTCCTGATATCCACTAGCTTGTACAATGGGATGAAGCTTGAATTCAATTGGTGTTGTTTTGCATGTATATATACTCAGTGAATCAATGAGATTAGAATACTATAAATAATAACAGATTGTCAATTTTGAGTTTCTGGTAATGATTTCATTATTATTTGAACGAACATTTATGATGAATCAACTCGTTTGTAGTTTGTTGCAGATATATATATATATATATATAAGAAGAGGGGTATTTACGCTTGAAGAACGTTAAGCTACTATGCAAAAGCACACTATTATGGTTAGTAAATATACCATTTATATAATAAGAAATTTTTTTTTATCAAAGTGAGAATCTTAAATACGAACGTCAAGGCAGTTCTACTGTATGCAGCTGAAACTTGGAGAACTACAACAACCACCATCAAGAAAATACAAGTATTTATAAATAGCTGTCTACGCAAGATACTTAACATCCATTGACCGATACTATAAGCAACAGCCTACTGTAGAAGAGAACAAATCAGCTTCCAACTGAAGAAGAAATTAGAAAAAGACGATGGAAATGGATAGGCCATACATTACGCAAATCATCAAACTGCATCAGGAGAGAAGCCCTAACTTGGAATCCTGAAGGGAAGCGGAAAAGTGGAAGGCCAAAGAACATATTACGTCGGATAATGAAGCAGATATGAAAAGGATGAATAATAACTGGAAGGAGCTGGAAAGGAATGCCCAGGACAGGGTTGAATAGAGAATGCTGGTGAACGGCCTATGTTCCTTCACGAGGAGTAACAGGCGTAAGTAAGTAAGTGAATATGTCAATTATATTAAATGAATATGTAAACCAAACGATTCAAGATTTTTTTTGTGTGTGTAAAGAGTTAGCAAACATAAAACATTGACGATATATTCACTGCATTACACCATAGTAACTATTATAATATTATTTATTAATCAATCAAATTGTATTCATCTATTGAATTCACTTGAAATAAGGTAAACAAATAATTTATAAATAAAAGTATATATTCAAAATGAATTGATTTATGAACAAACAAAAAAATAGAGGAGGAGGGGGGGAGCGTGGGAACATTTCATGCATTTTTAATATTCGATAGTTTATAAAACAAATCAATTATTACATCATAACTAATCATTAATAAAACTGAAATATATAGTGACTATATGATGTAATTCATTTAGTTAAGTCTTGGAAACAAATAAATTTGTCTCATGATCTCAACTGTTGAAATTACTACAATCTCCATAAAACCCCGTTTCTGATATCAACATGTGCTCACTAGTGACTGACTTCAAGAGGTACTTCCTGGAGTTCTAGTGAGGAGCAGTGACCAATGGAGTTCAACTAGGTCAGTTGTGAGATAGTAACTTACTGAGGATAATGGTGGATGTGTCACTCAATTTCGTGGATTAGTTAAAGTTAGACATTAACACCGTCGGATGCCGGTCGACTCTGTGGTCTAGTTGGTCAAGCCTCTGGGTTCGAATCCCGCGAGACGAGGTCGTGGGTGCGCACTGTTAAAGAGTCCCACAATAGGACGAAGTGACCGTCCAGTGCTTCCAGGTTTTCCATTGTGGTCTAGCTTCAACTAACTCATGATCTCAATTGTTAACATTTATTACATATTCTTAATATCAACTTTAAACAATTACAAGCATATAATCTTCAATTGATTAAATGAAACTAAACTCTCTCTTATGATCTAGTAAATGGTTAAAATAAAAGTATAATCCTTAGAACTATTGTTCGTTATAAGGAAAACAAAACATCGAACTACCTATAAAACGTTTTAAATAACTGTATACTGAATACTTATTACAACAATTAGAATTTCTCCAAAACCTAAGTTCATTCTTAAATGTATTTATTTGTTTATATATTTATTTGAACACATAAATATTGGTACAAAGGGGAACCGAATACATATATATGCCAAACAAGTTACTTGATTTGTATGGCGGCTGTGATACTGTCTGAGTGACCAGACCGAAGTATGTGGTTTTGTTAGGAGGCCATACCTGGAACCTTCGACCTAACGGTCTGATCTATAATACAGTGACGTAACGTTATGAGATGCAGTCCTATGGTAGCCGTTGACCGGTGATTGGTTCATACGCCATTTATTCCTTCAGGATGCTGAAGCCCATATGCACAAGTGATTTGGAATCAGGGTTTTCTAACTCCCCTAGTTATATCCTCTATATCCGTTAACCAAGGTAAAGTGCCGGAAATTCTTAAATTATTGGAATCTGTCCTATGGATAATAGTTTTTTTTGCAGATTTCTTTTTTAAAAA